TGAAAAGGACCACAGTGATGACAGTGGAGGGCAGTGGGTTGGCAGGGGCTACATTCTGCATATATTTTCAAGATAGAGCTGAAGGGATTTGATGATGAACTAGCTATAGCCTATGAGATAAAGAAAGGAATCAGGGATACTGCTAATATGCTTCGCCTGAGCAACCGGAAAGATAGTTACATTTAGAGAAATGAGGAAAGCTGAAAATAAAGCCGGATTGGAATGTGAGTGGGAGTTATAGCACAGTTTGGTTTGGGGAAAGATGTGTGAGATGCCCATTGGACAATCAGTGTAGGGTGGGTAGTTTGGAGTGCTGAGAAGCTGTCTAAGAAATGGAACGTGGACAGTTAGAAGTCTGCAGATGGTGAGATATGTGACATCTGTGCAGTTACAAATAGCAGCCTCACGCTCTAAGCAGGTCCTCGGATGGGTTCAACATAAATCAACACCCCTCCACGTTGCTTAGCATGCAACTGCCTCCATTTCCTACTTGCTATGTTCTGTGATGCCCATTTTCACTTCATTACTAGTTTATTATGTGATCTGCACTACCCTCCTGCATGCCAGATACATCCTCCTGTGGAAGACGGTACTGATGACATCCCTTCTCGACAGCTGGTAGGTTCTATGTATTGCAGTATCAACAGTTCACAGGGGGTCTTTAATTAATAATATGAGTAAGTCATAAAAAATACATAATTACATAAAAAGTTTTCAAGCTGTTAACTGTCTTTAAAGAAGGTGGTTAGCAATTGTCCTTATAATAATGAGTGATCAGCATCTTTTTATCCTAAAAATAAGAAAGTTTAAATTTCTTTCCTTCTTTTGTCTTTTTGAGACAGGGTTTCACTATACGCAATTCAGGCTGGCCTTGAACTCACTTTGTAGCCTAGGCTGGCCTTAAACTCACAGTGAGCCTCCTGCCTCAGCCTCCCAAGTGCTGGGATTACAGGCATGCGCCACCACACCCAGCTTTAAATTTCTAAATTATAAAATCCTAGTGATTGTAGATCAGAAAGGACTCACTGCTATCTAGTACTGTGGTACTCAGCTTCGGTTTTCCAACATGGAATTTCAGGAAGAAATCGACCCTAGAGCCAGTTTGCTTGTGTTCATATCCTCACTTAGTAAATCCCTGGTGAGAGAAGCCATCCGCCATGGGTTCTGACGGTCCCAGCATGTTCTTGCTAGGTACAACAAAGACACAAAGCCAAGTCCAGTGCTCACCAGGCCACATGTCAGTGTTGCGTTTGCAACAAGAGCCATGAAAATTGAGATACTTTCCCCTACAGAGCAGGCTTTGCTTAGATGTGGTCTGAGTATGTCTCTCACAGGCTCATGTATTGAGCAACTGGTCTTCAGTTTGACAGTGCTGGGAGGTAGTAGACCTCTAAGAGGGGGATCCTAGTGGGAAGTCACTGGGGACTCCATCCTGGAAAAGATTAAGGGATTTCTGTTGGACCCTGGGCTACTCCAGAGAGAGCCCTCCCGACACTGGCTTCTGGCCTGGAGGTTGTGGCTCCCTCTCAGGTGACCTGATGCAGTTACCCTGAGCAACACTGCAGCGAGGGAAGTCTCACCAGGCTGGCACTGTGCCTTTTGGACTTTCATCGTTGGAAACTGTGACCTAAATAAACCTATTTTCTCTATGAGTTTCCCAAGAGAAGCTGCTCATTTACAGTCACAGCAAACTGATGTATTTACCTGTGTCACCCCTGAAGGACCATAGGAAATTGGCACAAACTTGAAGCTCTGGCTACTTCTTTTGCCTGGAGCCCTTTGTCTCTGACCAGCTCACCACAAGCGGTGATAGATAAATGTATTCCTACGCAAGTAAGGCAAAACACCAAACCTTCACAGTTCTTCATGCTTACTAACTGTTTGCCTTGAAGAGATAAAGTTTCTTAGGTCTCATTTTCCTCATGTGTGAAACAGATTATCAATAGCTTCAAATCAAAGGTTCTCTCGAGAATTAAACAAAATAATGTATAGAAAAGTACTTAGCAAATGGTTCCAGGCATACAGTAAGCACTTAAATGTTATCCAACTAGCAATGGACTCTTTGTAAAGTTTCTGAAAGGCTAGTGAAAATTATATATGAGCAGTGCCTCACAGGTGTTACATAATTACTTATTTTTTCAACAGACAAAAATATTTCTGAAATACAGTATAAAGCTAGTAAGTATTTATACTAAATTATCTAATCCACATAGGTGATTGATGTTGTTGTGCTCATTTTACGGAGAAAGAACTAAGCATAGGAAACTTGAATAATGTGTTCAACATCGCTCAGCAAAAAAGCAGATCTGTGACCCAAATGCAGTCAATCTGGATCCACATTTTTAACCATGGCGCTGTGCCGCGCTTCTGGGTGAGAATTCATGGGGACCCGGCAGAACAGGTGAGGGTCCTGGTGATGAAGGAAAAATCTAGGAACTGCTGACCTTCATCTAGATGAGGAGGTGGAGCCTCCGGGATGCCTCATGGTATGAGGAGGTCTGATTCAGAAGTTCATGATAATGTTACAATGAGAAACTGTCCTTTATTTTTCTGTGAGAAACATGACATTTAAAAATTGAGTAGAAAATATTCAGCAAGGTTTTGTTTTCTTCACCTTTCTAGGATAAGCGGGTAATTACAGTGATTCCTAATACTCCCCAGATGTATATTAACATGCTCCACTTGTACTTACAAATATGCATCAACTGTGTCAGTAGATATTAAATGTAAATGACAAAGCACAGATATCACAGTGGGAAACATAAAGTGTTGTGGAATTCCAACCTAAACAGGTAGCAATATCATCAGGTATTTTGTCCCAGCAACAGAAAAGCCTAGTAATATAGCTTATATCACTATGAATTTGAATATGTAAACTACATTATCATCTATTTTAAAGCTCTGTACTGTTACAACTTTTTAAAATTTAATGCGTACTTAACATATTTCTTCACACTTATTTCTACATAAAACCTGTTTTTCTACCTCATTCCTTTCATCGTCATCACAAGAGTGAGCCATCACCAGCTCTTTGCCCTTCTGTGCTCATTTAAGCCATCTCCAGTTTCTTGCTATTAGAAATACAGAGCTGCAACAATCATGTTGTCCATACGTCTCTGTGTGCTTGTGTAAGTGACATACAATATCACCTAGAATTAAAATGAATAAACCAAAAGGTACGCAGAACTTAATTCTGTCAACTCCCATCAAACTGCTTTGCAAAAAGGAAGCATCCTTTTCAGCAGTTTTTTTCCCTTTCACAATATCTACTGTACCTTTTGGATCTTATTTACTCTTTCAGGTTCTTCCACTAGGGAAACAATACAATATTTACACACGCGGGTCTGATTTATTTCACTTCTGAGTATGGCCTCTAGTTGCCAAATTCTGTACTGTTTTTATTGGTTTATTTTAAATTCTCTTTAAAATTTTTTTAAAAAAAAATAGTTGTACAAAAGCAACCCTAATTCCTGAACTGGTATTGATATAATGCCACTTAAAAAGAAGCATCTTTCTTTTTAAGAAGAACAGGCCCGAGACACTTTCCTTCCATACTTATACTGTTTCATGAGGCTTAATCAAATGCCCTATTTATGTGTGCTTTATTTCCTATTATATATGTGATGTGTTTGTGTTCCCTTTTATTATACCCTAGTTTTAAATTGTTAGTTAGTGAAATGTATTCGCCTTTTTGCTTATGACAGTTTCCAAATTTCACGAAATGCTTAGGAACATCTCAAAATGAAACATACATATTTATCTGCACATAAAGTGAGGCATATCTGTAAATGATAAACAGTGATTTCAAGATATACAATGTTAAGAATAAACATGAAGGACAGTACAATATACACACTGACAGGTATAACTACAGGTTTGTATGTACATAAGATCACCTCTGGAAGTTGAACTGGAGGTGTGGAGAATAGGCAAAAGGCAGATTTTCAATGTTCACTCTTCCTATTGTTTAAACTTTTAATCATTTCATGTATTATCTATTCAAACAAGTTCTAACTTTATCATCAAAACCTTAAAAACCTACAAATACTGGTGAGGTTGTAGGGGAAAAGGGATACTTCTACATCACTGGTGGAATGTAAAGGAGTACAACCACTATGGAAATTAGTGTGGAGATTCCTAAAAAAAAAACCCTAAAAATAGAAATTCCATTTGACTCAGCCATCCCTCTTCTTGGAATCTTCTTGAAAGAGTTAAAGACCTCGTATTACACTGATAGATGCATACCCGTGTTTACAGTGGGCAGTACAACACCTAATACCTAAATCTTGGAAGTGGCCTACATGTTCATCAAGAGATAACCTGATAAAGAAAATATGTTGGGTACATAATGGATTACTGCTCGGCCATCAGGAAGGATAAATTTGAGTCATTTGAAGAAAAATGGGTGCACCTTGAGACTATAATACTAAGTAGAACAGACCAGATAAGAGAAAGTTAAATATGGCATAGCTTCCTCCTTCATGACAAACCCAAAGGATAAATAACTTAAAGAGCAAAATACAGATTACAGGAAACGAGGACGCAGATGTTTTGATGGGAAGGCGATCTAGGACGGAGGGAGGTGGGGAGGGAAATAAAGCGGATTTAGAGGCAATAAGTACACGTACCAACTCCTCATGATGAAGGTATTCATGGTGCTCAGCAAAAAACTACTAAAAATAAATGAAGAAAAAAGAACAAAAACACTCTGTTTATGACTGTACACAGGAAGCGCTCCTTTTTACTTGCAGTGCATGATTTCATTTCTTACCTTTTAAGGCTTGACGCACCTGGCACATGAGCGTAAGCAGAGAGGCGGGACCCAGTCTTGCCCTCTACCAGTCAGATAGGCCTGGTGACATTTTAAGTTTAAGACACAGGGACGAGGCGCAGGAGAAGGGCCCGCCTGCCGAGGACAAGCGGAGAGCCCTGGGCTGACTGGACTGAGGAATTTCGAGGGCTGGCCAAGCGTTTCTAGAGTCTCGTGTCTGCATAGTTACCTTGTGACAGGCGCTCAGGAGGGCGGGACGCTCACCGCGCAGCCTGCAGCCGCGCTCGGACTCCCAGCGGAGCGCAGTAGAGGGAGAGGGCAGGTCGGACTGACCGAGCGTGGTGTTCTCCCGCGGCCCGAGGGCAGCCCGAAAGCGCCTCCTACCCGCGCAGAAGCGCAGCCCGCGGGCCCGCAGGCGGTTTCGCAGGTCCTCGCAGGCTGCCCTGCGCCCGCCGAGCCTCCGTTGCCGTCCGTATCCTAGCAACGGCTCCGCGCATCCTCCCGGCGCCCGGGCGAGGCCCTGCCCGCCCCCTCCGGCTGGGAGGAGGGCGCGGCCGGGAGGAGTCCCGCGGTCCGTCTCGAAAGTCCGGTCACCCTGGGAGAAGGGCGCCGCTCTCCACTCCAAACTTTAAGGGCAATTGATGAGTACAATAAAAAACAATCATAATCAGAGAACACAGGTGTGCAGCGGGGTGTGACTTCTTGTTTTTGTTAATTTTAGAACTCAGCTTTTGGCTTTCTGGCAGCCGAAGAGAAAAGGCACACAGCAGTTATGTAGTTGCCCATTTCTAAGGAGAAACAAAACATTTTTTAAACTTGTAAAGGGCCCTCCTCATCTTTAAACTCTTTAAGGAAGTTTTAAAGAAGAACGGAACAGTGCTGGGGAAAGATCGAGCATGTTCCTGTGCAAACTGTAGCAACAAATTCATGTGCCTGTTTCCTAATAGGCTCATAATCGTGCTTATTATTGTCACCTTACAATAGATTCCTCAGTCCTAACGAAGATTTTATTAAGGAGGAACTGCTATTAATTTCATTTCACTGAGAAAACCAAGACACACAAAAGTTAAATTTAAAAAAGGGATTAAACCCAAGTAGTCTTACTCTAGAGCCCAGGTTTTAAACCATTATTCTAGACTACTATCTTAACACCCTAAAGTATTTTTAAAACATGTGGAAATTAACAAAATAAAGTTTTGTTATATATAAAGTGCATTCCTTCATTTACAATGGCCAGTGTCATTTCCGTATACCATGCTCCTACAGTTGTACTCTCATCTCTCCAGTAACTCCCTGATGTTCAGGGCTGGTTTCTCTAGTCGTCCCATTTTAAAATGCCTACTTCTTACTAGGACAATATGGAAGATGTCTTATATTTTCAGATAAAATTGGCTTTGTTTTAGTAATGATTTTAAGACAAGCAAAAGCTAAAATTTTATGTCCTTTCTACACACTTAGGAGGAGCAAAGAAAAAAGTTACAGAGGTAATCATCAGTATTTGTCTCCATGGATAGCCCTGGTGTAGAAGTGTGCAGAAAAGTGTCTCCAAATACCCACTTCTGCTTCCAAAATCATCATGTATCTTGAACCCCACTAGGAATAAAAAATCCCACCCATCTTAATTCCCACTTTTCCCGGTCTCCTCTTTAAAATTTATGTTTCGTTGTCCTCCATGTTAGATGCAGTAGGAAAACAATAGGGTTACAAATAGAGATAAGAAATACAGACAAGAAAAACAGGTAGTAGATTTCCAAATACTTCTTAGCATTAAATATGACTCGATACCCACTCTGTGTTCATATTTCAGAGTTTGCTATCATTTTCCATTTTACTTTCTACCCTAAATTTATCTATTTTCTCAGAATTTATTATCCAAAATGGCGTCTTTGTCAAGAAACATCTACTTCAGTATGTATCTACAAAATAATCATTTGTTTTAACTTTCTTATACTCTACTTTTACAAAGATGCCACCTAGTGGCTTTATGAGATTGAGCATTTCAAAGCAGTTCCCTTACTACTAAGCACCTTACATAGATTTCTAATTTAGTCCTTACAAAGATTTTATTAAAGAAAAACTGCTGTTACTTCCATTTTATTAATGAGAAATCCAAGACAAAGGTTAAATAAAAAAAAAAAAGGATTAAATAGGTTAGGTTAAAATGTATCATGATATAAATGGATATTAGAAAAAAATATATATGAGTAATTGCTATAGGCAGCTGAGTTAGATAGAAATACTATAGGCAGACAGGGCCAGGCCCTCGAAGGAGCCAACATGAAAGATACGTATTTGCTGCAGGCCAGACCTCAAGACAAAGGACTAAACAAATGCACCCACATACCTTCCTAGGGATGGACATCAGAGCTTGATATTCTAAATAGGTAGCCGATCACCTTGAAGAGTCCTTGAACCAACCCTTCAGGAAAAGCCCTTTTGTATTCACGCCCGCTTGCCACTTGACTCACCTCCCCATTTGAGCCCAATTTAATCAATTTTACCTGAACAATTCTTATTGGCCATAGTTTTGTCCATTTTTCCCTACCTTGGACTCGCCTCACCTCGTGGCTTTACTCTGTAAAAGTCCCTAGAAAAGACAGAGTCTTAGGGTAACTCACTCGGGCCCCCCTTCTGTCTCTCTCTTAGACAGAAACTTTCTTTCCCTCAATAAATATATTCTGCTCTTAACCTCCGTCGTTCCTAAAATGCATTCTTCGATTTTAGAGAACACAAACTTGTCTCATGTATCATTCAGGTTGGGAGTTTTTATTTTCCTGTATCATAATTATTTAGAACACTAAGGACCAGAAAAGTATTCTTTGTTTGGTTTTGTTTGTTTTGGATACCAGGAATCGAACTCAGGACTTTATGCTTGTCAGACAAGTGTTTGTGCCACTGAGCTATATCCCTAGCCCCTGGAAAAGTATGCTTTGGAAATTATCTATGTGGATTAATTTTGGATCTTGTTTGTGAGCTAGCTAACAGAAGTACAGATCCACAGACACTTTTCTGAAACTTTTTCAGTTAGTCCAATCTGTTTAATATTCAAAGTTTTTTAGTTTTGAAAGATAATATGGGCATTTGTTTTACATTATCTAACAATTCATGAGTTTGGGGATAGAGCCCAGAATCAAATACAGTAATACTTCTATGGTAAAATATTCAAATAACAGTGGAATAAAGGCCATAAATATCTTTGCATCAATTGAGGTCAGGTTTGTTTCTGAATGAGTTATGAAAAACTGTCAATTTTCAGAGATTTTTGAAATTCACATAAATTGTGGACCTGCTTTATCTGGAAGAAAAGGCATCTACCCTCCAGTTAAAAGAAAGTAAAATGCAGTATTTTTTTAATAAAATAGCAATACTAATCTTTAAGAAAGCAAATGGGGGATGAATATAATCAAAATATATTATACATAATGAAATTCTCCAAAATGTGAAACTGTAGGAAAGGAGGGGCAAGGGAGGCTCCAGGGGTAATGAGTAAAGTCTGCTGTGTCCATGCACAAATCTGCCAGATGAAACCCATTAATGTTTACCCAATATGCACTAATAAGAAAATGTAGAAAAAAAGCTAAAGCATTCACTTAAATTTGAAAATCATGAGAAATTTTTAAAAAATCATTGCAATGTTTTTTCTTTACTCATATATATAGGGTCATCTATCACAAATTACATTTAAGTGCACCACACAAAGTTATCTATCCTGAAATTAAAGAGCACTGTGAACATTGTTAGCAATGCATAGCAAACTCAAGTTCTCTGACATATTCAAAAATACTTTGTGTGTGGTTTGCTTCTATGTGTGAATCTCTCTTTTTCCCATCCCTACCATGTTTATGGAAATGAGTTGGTGCCATGCAGTCTGGATCCCTTGTATGATTCTTCCTGAGCACTCTTTACCCACCCTCCTTAGGCACATAGTATGGATGAGAAACAAACTTGCACTGAAGACATGAGATTTAGGAGTAGCCTATGCCAAGTCACTTTTTCACATTCATTTTCTTCATTATCTAGAGCTTTGGCTTAGTGCCTCTAAACAGAATTCCAAATGCATTTCTATAGTTCCCATTGATATTCCAAGTCTTATATTAAATCTACAATGTAGAATTTCATAGAACAGTGATTTTTATTGGGGAGAGAAAGGAAGGAAGGAAGGAAGGAAAGGGGAGGGGAGGGGAGGGAGGAAGGACGGACAGAAGGGAAGAAGGAAGGAAGGAAGAAAAACTTGTATGTTCAGCAACGTGGTACATAATCCTAAACCCCAGTGTTAGGTTTTGTTTAAATGATGGAACCTGAGAGAAAAAAAAGAAAAAGCAGACATTAGATTATATGTAGAAATTTCCCTATATTGACATTGTTAATATTTCCTCCCTTTGAAAAGTGATACATTTACAGATGTTTGGTTTTTTTCCATAGATACTGTTACCAGCTTAATTAGCCTCTCACTTTTCTGACTGCACTTAGGATTTGAAGCAGGAGGGATTGAAAGTTAAAGTTCCACCCTATTTTCAGGCAACTCTAGCTAAAAATAAAAAATAAAAAATGTTGGAGATGTAGCACAATGTGAACGCCCTGCATTCAATCCCACTATGGGGAAGGAGAAAAAAAGGAAAAGTAAAAAGTCAAAAACAAGGTAAACTCCCTTTCTTCTACCCCCATTCTCTGAAGGCAGAGTTAGAGGGGAATAAAAGGACCACTAAAACCTGACGCCCAGTGCATCATGTTCTACTCAGGTAACAGACTGGACATCCAGCTCCTCCTCTTACAGGAAGGATGACAACCTTGAGAGCTGATCTTTATTTAGTAGGGTCCAGGACAGTTATAGTGTACATAATCATCCTTATGAAGTTACTGAATAATACATTACACAGTTCTCCTAAGTAAAATCCATTTCCTTCCAAAGGAAAGAAATTTGCATAAATTGCAATATTCTGAAGTCCAGATGTGGGAAGGAGTATCAGCTCTCATGTCATTTTGTTTGCAAAGCTCAAATGGAGTACTTCTCTTTCCTGAAATACCTGAAGTATGGTGACTAGCTGAATGAAACCCACAGAGAAGCTACAGCAAATTAAAGTAAACCATTCCGAAAATTACTCAGATTAGTGTAGTGGACACTTGGCAACACTGAAAATTCACGAACAGAAGAATCATCTGCAAAGTGCTTGGTCAGGATGCTTAATGTGGAAGTTTATAGGCAGCAAATAGAAAAAAAAATTTGATGGAGCAAAAGCCATCAAGTATATGGTGGATTAATTAATGCTCAATTTGAGTGGGGACACCCAACTGAACTAAACACACAGTTCCGGGCATGAAGACTCACCTGAGTATTGCTGTCATAATGCATAAAAGGAGAGAGGAGGGGGAGACTGCATGCTGCTCATTTCCCAGGAACTTTGTTGTGGCTGTTTTTTTCTGATATGAACTTGACTGTTTCCATCAGCAAATGAGCTCAGGTCTTCACTGCCGCTGGGGATGGCTGCTGTTCTTTGGGCGGTGGGGGTGCAGGGAGGGCTGTGGTCTTCACCTTCTTGAGTGTCCCTCCAGTGCAGATCCCTCAGCCTGCTGGCACAGATCCTTCACCCTGCAGGTGCAGACTTTGTAACTTCCACCACTGGCCCTTGGGCCTTTCTGGTGCAGAGCCTAGAGGCAGAGCTGCATGAGACACTGCCATGAACTCTAGGACTCCAGCTTGATGGAGGAAAATTGCTGTGGGCTCTAGGCCTTTGGCTAGACTCGTGGCACACTGCTGTGAGATTCAGGCCCTTGGCTGGATTCTTTGGGTCTCTAGCGCAAAGAGATTACGGTTCTGCATCTGAGTTTTTGGGCCAATATTATAAGGTAATCCTATAAATTTGTGTCCTGTATTAAACCTATTTCCTTGCAAACTCTGACTACAAGGTAGAAGGTTATATGGGCAGTTAATAAATGCCAAACAATAATGAACCAAGTTACAATGGCTTTTAAAAAGTATCTCCCTTATAATTTATAACCAATACTAAGCTCTCTGCAAAAAATGAAATCCAATTTACTACTTCTGTTCATATTTGTTTGTAACTGTTTAATGGGAAAAGTCAAAGCAGCAAGATATAGCACGGGCTGGAGTGAGCATCCCAAGTACAATAGTAAAGAATAACATACGAGTTAGCAACAAGAGCTCTAGAGCCAGACTGTCTAGTCTCAAAATTCAGCTCCACATCTTACCAGCTATCTAACTTTGGATGTGCTACTAAACCAATCTCTTTGCCTCAGTTTCCCCAGCTTCTCATGTTACACAACTGCAAGGCAGAATTCAGTCTGGATTCTGGTTTCCTTATCAGAACAATGGAGGTAATTTGCAGTACCTCACTCTTCGGCTTGTGGAACAGATCTAATAAGCAACAATAGTTAAGTACTTAATAACAATACCTAGCATTCATATTTAAGTCCCACAAAACACTATGTTTTACATTTTAACCATTATTCTACTATTTGTTGTATTATTCTAGAACCATCAATTCTAACACAAACACCAATAAGGTCTTCTTTTGGCAATAAAGCCATAGTAATATTGTTAGTGAAACAGAAAAGCTCCTCAAAAATCATGGAGAAATGACACTGAAAGTATGAGAAAGGCACAGCAAGCCAATTTTGTTTTTTATGTACTCAAAGAACCTGGACAAATTCACTGGTTAGAAAATTGGCTTGAAAGCATCCATGCACACATGCTTTAGGATCATATATTTTGACCTTAATAAACACACTAAAGTAAATGTCAGAACTGAAAAAGTCATACATCATAAATTCTACTTGTTTTAAAAAGCAGGAATAAGCCACCCGAGAGCCCAACAACTTGCCTCAACATCATGACTGAATTCACAATGGGGTTAGAATCACAGGAATGAGAACCTCAGGCTTCTGATCCCCCAACACATCTCCCACTTCCCATCCAAAATGAGCTCTCCTGCAATCTGACTGCTAAGAAGCAAACCCATCTATCTAATAGCTACTTTGTACTTACATTATACCTCGATGAGTTGAGAAACATACTAGGTAAAATAAAGAATATAATTTTCTTCTGACTACCTGTCATAAGATACAGCAAAATACATACACACATACATGCACACACAGTAAATAGAATAAGTAATCCCAGCTTGCACTAAAATAAAATGATATTTACAGTGGAGTTGATAGTCAGTATATAATTATATATTTAAATTTTACTTTATATATCAGATTACAGCCAATGAGTTTATAATTTAAAATTTTAATACAAACTATTTCTGCTATTTTTCTCACAATTGAATATATTCTTACTACCGCACCTTAAGTAATGACCAGTAAGTTTAGACAAAAGTATCCTTTCTCTTTTTTTAGGATAAAGAAATAACGTGCTGAAGATATTACTGAAGATACTTCATCTTTTGATTATAGCCTCTAGTGATGATCTGTGGGAATTTCCTAATTAACTTCCAAACCTTCCCACAACCTTTTTGTTCCAAGAGATACTGTCTGCACAATAAACTGAGTGAATACGGTGCAACCCAAAAACTGATCCACAAGACCCCATTACCATAATCACTAAGTTTAACAAGACTCCTAAATATACAGTGTCTTTTTTCTTAATAAGAAATAACAGAAACATTTTTAATATAACAGAACATTTAATTACATCAGTTTCCCATCAACCCATTCAAGATGGTGAGTGACAATTATATTGGCCATTTCCACTGGTTGGCGGGAGGCTCTTCCACTAACGGCTCCCACGGTTTCCACTGCATCATTTTCCTCGCCAGTCTTAGTTCATTTTCAGCCTGTTAATAAAATTTTTTCAAAGATTGACTGTTCAAAGGCCTTTTATTGAAATTTAACTATTAGAACTTCTACTTTTATATTAATACTTCATCAAATATTAAACATTACATTAATTTTGTTACCTTAATTTTCTCAGGTACACTATCATGACTAAGAGTATCTTTTGACTTCTTCTATTTGAGTGAGATTTGCTATAATTTCTAAAGTTTAGCTGGTGAGTTTTCAATCTTAATTGTGTTTCACAAGAACTTTCCGGATCACAAGTATGTCTTTTCATCTGTATCAGTGGCTTTCAAACTTTATTCCAAAATGGCTCATGGCAAAAAATACAGTAATCCCTCTTTATCCATGGAGATCCATTCCAATACCACCAGTGGATGACTACTGAAACCATAAATAATACTGAACCCTATATAATGCTTTTTATATGTACACACAACTAGGATAAAGTTTAGTTTATAAATTAGGCATATGCTAAGACCCGGACTTACAAACATTTGAGTTGCTAATCTTCACTGATACTAAGAGACCTCGCATTATGAACACTCACAGATGGGAACAAATCCTGGAAGTACCTCACGTGACTGCCAGATGCTGTTACAGTTGTGCTGCTGTGTGCTTACTGTATAGTAGTAAGTGCTTGCTGTGTGCAGTAATGTAAAGCAGTATAGTGCTTGAACCAAGCCTAGGACCTCTGGAAGCAAGAGGGAAAAGTAGTGGTGATGTGGAGAAGACTACTAGGAAACTCAAAGTGGTATTTTGTGTATATTTTTGTCAAAGGTGTATAAAACTCACTGTGAGACTTACTAACAAACCCAGCGTTCTCCCAGAACGGAACTCATGTGTAAGTCAAGTACTTACTGTAGCAGGAAACTGGCAGCACAACAACTAATAATAAAACAATTGCTGTATTAAATAAGATTCACTTGAACACAAGCCTTATGACATGACAGCTGATCTGATAACAGAGACAGTTACTAAGTAACTAATGGGTGGCTACTGTATAAAGGGTGGACCCAGGGAAAAAGCAATAATTTACATCCCTGGCAGAATGGAGTGGAATGGTGTGAGGTTGCATCAAACTCTCTGAACAGCATGCAATTTTAAACTTTTTTATTTCTAGAATTTTTCACTTAATACTTTCAGACCAGGTTTGACCACAGGTAATTGATATCACAGAAAGATAAACCTTAAATACGAGGGAACTACTATACCTTTTACTACGGGATCCACAATAAACACACGTAACTAAAATAAAACTAAAACATCATTACATCTATTGTGGTATTTTCTATTGTATCTTCTTTAAAAAATGTTAATCACAATCCACTTATTTCATGACCCATAATCATTTGAGACTTAAACTTAAAAGTTTAGAAAACAGTGATCTACAGAACGCAAGGGAACACACAGGTGCACAGTAAATATTTATTGACTTAACTAATTCCTTTTTCTACATTATTCTATATTTTTATTTAACCTGACACATAAAAACCATACATATGTTTGTACCATGTTTCAATAGAGATATCTGACCTGTAATGTTAAATAAAGGTAAGCCTATCCCCTCAAACATTTATTATTTCTTTATAGTAAAAACATACAAAATCCCATTTATTAGCTTTTGTTTTTCAATAAAAAGTATGTTATCGTTATCTATAGTCACCCTACTATGCAACAAAACACAGTAACTTTTTTTTTCCCCCTTTTAAGACAGGGTCTCACTATGTAGTTCAGGCTGGCCTTGAACTCATGGCAACCTGCCTGCCTCAGCCTCCTCACACCTGAGATTACAAGTGTGTACCACCACACCTAGCCAAAACACAACTTAATTGTCCTTTCTAACTATAAAAGTAGAACCCACTGACCAATCTTTCCACATCCCTCTGATCCTATTCTCTAATATTCATAAGAATGTAAACTAGTACACAACCTAATTAGAAGCAATATAGAAATTTCTTTTAAAAATTAAAAATAGAAGTATCACATGATCCAGCAGTTCCACTACTGTACATATATCCAATGGAACTGAAACTACTACGGTGAGAGACCCCAGCATTCCATTTTCTTTTTGAGTCCAGCTCTTCTAGATAGCTCAGGCTGGCCTCGAAACTTGTGACCCTTGAGATTCAGCCTCCTTTTTTTTCTCTTGTATAAGTAATGAGAAGGACAAGAAAAAGATTTAAAATGGAAAAGATATTCTAAGTATAGTAATGATAATTTGTCCATAATATTCATAATCATGCTTATATTTTAATTTTTTTAAGAGAAAAAACAATAAAAACAATGATACAGAATTTTAAAACATGACAATAGGAGATTAACAATGGTTAATATATCGGGAACTGTTATCTTCAAAGTAGTTGCTCATATTACAAGATATGGGCATGAAAACTTAACCAAACAGTGTAAGCACAACCTGTTTTTTTTTGTCTTTTTGAGACAGGGTCCCCCTATGCAGTTCAGGCTTGTCTTGAGCTCACTTTGTAGCCCAACTTGGTCTCAAACTCCCAACAATCCTCCTGCCTCAGCCTCCTGAGTGCTGGGATTACAGGTGTGCGCCACAAGGTCTGGCCAAACCATTCTTTTTAATGAACTAATAGAAATTAGTAATATAATTATCAGAGCTATCTTGTATATCTATATCTAATTTCTTTTCCCTTCCTTCTTTTCTCCTTTCCCCCATCCTAGTTGTTCTTTCCTTTTGAGCACTTTCTTTCTCTTTCACAGTATCTCTTGTATGTTTTGAATCTTATTTACTCCTTCAGTTTCTTACATTAGGGAGACAAGACAATGTTTACACATGAGAGTTTGACCTACTTCACTTGTGAGTATGCTCTCAACTTGCATCCATTTACCTATAGAAGCCTCAAGTTTATCTTCTTTATAGCTGAGAGTAGTACTCCACTGTATAAAAATACATCTTTTTTATCCATTCCTAGGTAGATGGGCATTTGGGCTGTTTCCAAGATTTAGCAATTACAAGCTATGTTGCTATAAACATGAGTTTATGCTTATATTTTAGATTCATATCATTTTTCAGGATTAGTGAAAGGATACTATAAAATGAAGCTCCATAAAATATGTACTACTAAAAATTGTTTTAAATTTATCAAATAATCCACCCCACCCTCCCATTTTGTACAGGGACTTCCTATCACTAAGCTACATCATCATCCATATTTTACTTTTTATTTTCAGACAGAGTCCTACTAAGTTGCCCAGACTTTGTGAGACTCAACTTGGAATATTCTGCCTCAGCCTCCCCAAATCCTGGGATTTTAGGCTTGAGCCAAATTTCAAGTAAATAATTGTATATAAAAGAAGGTAACATTACTAAAATAATAGAAACAATGTGCTACTAATCTAATTTAAGGCTACTAAGAACTTGCTGATTAAATAGAAAGACAGCATCAAACTCCAATCTTATTTTGAAAAAGCCTCATGAGGGGCTGGGGATTTAGCTCAGTGGCAAAAGCGCCTGCCTGGCAAGCGCAAGGTCGTGAGTTCGGTTCCCGGTACCGGAGAAAAACCAAAAACAAAACAAAACAAAAAAAGAAAAAGCCTCATGAAATTCAAGTTATAATCAATGACAATTTGCCATTCACATGTCTTATATTTGATCAGTCAACGGTAAGTAAATTTAGGTTTCATTTCTCCCTGGAATATCAGTTTTGTCTCTCTATATAAAATGAACATTTGAAATCAAACAACGAAATGTTGAATTTTTCTTTTACCTGAAGAATCACCTCCTCTAGTTGGCCAAGCTGAAGTCGGTCCTCTAATTTGTTAACATCTGGTTCCTGTATTTTCAAAGAAAAAAATTAAAAACAGGAGCACAATATCTGTCTTAATATTTGATATTTTAAAAACATATATAATATGCACTTCTAACATAATTTTTCGAGCACGACTGAAGTTTTCACCAAATATTTGGTGAAAAGCCATTTCATCTCTCTGCTGTTTTACTATTTTTCTGTCTGAATATTGAATGTACTGCATATTTATTGACTTACTTATCAAAAGACACAATACCCACATATATACACATATGTAAAGAATCTGTCACTATTAGGGTGATTTTTATGTTCTATTACTAGAATAAAAAGAAAAAAACAACAATTTTTTGCTTTTTGATTATAGGAATCAGCATGTTTCTGCCTCACAGAATCTGCTAAACAGTCCAAGACAGCGAGGGCAAACCCTTTAGAGGTTTCAGTGACACAAATGGCTCACTGTAGCATCAGCATCATGGTTTGCCAGCACTGGCCCAGGACATCTACATGGTTTATTCCTTCATTGTCTTCCAAATCTTTGCAAAATTATCACCTTCTTAATGAGGACTACTCATAATTTATACTCTAGTAGGCTGAACAGTGTCCCACAAAATATGTAATTATTAATCCCTGGGGCCTGTGAATGCTATGTCATATGGCAAAGACTTTGTGGGTGTGATTAAAGACCTTGAGATGACAAGATTTTTCCTTGGATTGGTCTTGTAGACAATCGTAAGTGTTCTTATAAAAGATGACTGAGGAAAATTACACAGAAAAAGAAAAAAGTAATCAACCACGTAGGTGATGCAACCACAAGTTAAGGAATGCCAAAAATCACAGAAGTTGGAAGAGACAAGAATCAAATTCTAACCCAGAGACACAGAGAAACACAGCCTTCACAACTTGACTGGGCCCCTGATAGCAATTTCTGACTTGGCCTGAACAAGTAAAAGAAAATTTGTATTATTTTAAGTCATAAAGTTTATGGGTGTTATTATACAGCAGCTATAAGAAACTAATACACATTATAGTATCTTTCATCCCTATCATGACACAAATCATTATCCCTTGCTTTATTCTCCTTCACTAAACCTGTTATCTTCTAACAAGTGTAACACTGTGCCAGGGCAACATTATGCACTTAATACTTACTTTTTAGACTTATTTATTTTTTGCCTCCCATCATTAACATGCCATTTCCATAAGGCCAGGAATTTTACCTGTTTTGCTCACTGCCATGTGGGCACAAGCCTCCATGCCTAGAACTATATATGGCATTTAAGTCATTCTGTAACTGTTTCTTGGTTTAATAAATGAATAAATTTTAAAATAAATGGAAAAGGAAGAAAAGAAAACAGATGAGCATGTTTCAGAAAGACAATTTAGGACAAAATTAATTTAGCTACAAAGCCTAAAGTAAAACCCAAACACATGGACATTGTTATAAGATGGGTAAAATAAAGCAAGGAAATTTCACCAATATTTTCAACTCAGGAAAGACTTGTATTCAGAAAATTCATAATTTCTTTTACTGAGAATGAAGCAATAGTGTCATTTTTGTTTACCAGCCACATAATGACACAGCTTAATAATGTACTAAATGTTTACTACATCTATAAGGTCAAGTTAAACTGTTTACACATACTAATTCATCCTAACAGTATGTGTTCAAGATAGGTATTACTATACCCAAGTTACAGATGAAGAAATTGAGACAAAGAAAAAGAGCAATATGCTAACTTATTCAGCAAATATTAGAGCTGAGATGAAAATCCTGCACAGGATACAAACCAATTATTTTTTTACAATATGTTATTACTATTTTCCCAGTAATAATATGAAAACATAAATTTACTTGCATTTTTACTTTATGCTTAGTAAATATGAAGATGCCTTATAATCATAACTACATTCACTGAAGCTTGTATACTGGGTTAGAAGAAATCACTGATAATTTTATCAAAAATAGGAAATCAGAGATACAACTATTATGAAGTGTTTCTGTTTGTTACAGTGGATTTGTACTTATTTAGTCTTTTCAGGGACTTGATGTACCCAGAACTATCCTAGACTTTTGGATATGAATCCAGTCTCATTCACAAATCACTTATGACTAAAAGAAGAGGCACAAATAAAGTACAGTGTGACAGACAAAACTATGCAGGAGGTTAAGAAAAAGCTTCACTGAGAAAGTAAGGACTTGAGCACTAAGTAAGAACTGTGGGTTAATCCATCTGTGCTGCTATAACAAAATACCCAAGACCGGGTAATTTATGCAGAAAATTTATTTTCTCATAGTTCTGGAAACAGGGAAGTCCAAGATTAAGGCACTGGTAAATCTGGTTGTCTGGTGAGGATTGCATCCCCAAGAGGGGAAGAACACTACTGTATCAGGACATAGTGGCAACAGAGGGGCAAGAGAGAACTAATAATCCTTGTTTATTTATAAGAGTTTTAAGCTCATTCAAGACAGAAACCCTCATGGCCCAGTGACTCTCAATACTACCACACTGGCCACTAAGGCTTAACACCCGAATTTGGAAGAGGATATATTCAAACTATAGCAAACTGTCAGGCAGATAAGATGATACGGCCATTCCAGGAAGAGAGAAAGTACAAACACAATAATAAAACTCCACAAAATCTACAAAATTGCCAGCAGCTTGACACTACTGAAGTATAGGGTACAACGGGAAATGACAGAATAGAGCGGCAAAGATAACTATGAGCCAGACCTTGGTGACTTTACATCACGTCATTCTAAAAACTTTATCCTGTTACAATCCCGGTTCCTAAACATGGTTGGCTCTACAGCAAAATCATACAGATAAAGGTCATACAACAAGCTCCACACAAGTCTTTAAGTCACCCTCTGAGAAATACTAAAGGAAAAATTAGTAAGATTTTAAGAAGGAAAGAAAGATTTACTTATTAAACAAACCACTGTTACGGCACTGTGAGACATATAATTACGATAAAACTACAAATAGATCAGTTAGTTAGAAGGCAACTGAAATAGCAAAGAAAAGGATTTAGGAGCTTAAGTGTAGACATTTAACAGTGAACTATTCTTTGTTTACCTTGGTTATGACACAATACCAAGAAATAGGATAGTAAGTACAAATATAAACATAGTTTTTTCTTCTAAGATGGGAATAAGCTACATACATCTTGAGGCTATTGAAGATGATGATAAAATGGGAAAGGTTAAAAAAAGAGCACACAGAATAAATGATTAAAAGGCTACAAAGTTATTGGGAAGGAAAACAGAAAAAAGTCAGAGGTGAACAGATTCACCTCATGAAAAGAAAAGGGGAAACATTCTGAGATGACAAAAATGTGTTGTTTCCTCAAGCAAGACAGGAAAATGAAAGAAATGTGAACTACTTCTTTACAGACTTTAATCTCTAATTTACTTCCAGAATTATCATAATAAATGTTCCAAATCAAACTGCACTGTTCTGCTGTATACCTAAGGAGAATGTAATTCTCTAATTACATAAAGTCTAGAAATTCTAATGTGAAAATTTAACAATAGTGCAATATAGTTTGGTATGAAAAAAATCAGCAGTAGTCTACCCTATTCCTGTTTAGCGTGTTTGATGCAAAGTCTCTAAAATGCTTGTATTAGTTTGCTTGGCTACAACAGCAAAATACCACAGACTGGATTCCTTAAAGAAATTTATTTTCCTACAGGTCTAGAGACCGAAGTCTATGATCAGAGTGACAAGTGAGCTGGTTTCTGGTGAGGGCTCTTCCTTTAGACTGCAGACAGCTGTGCTGCTGTATGCTCATATGGCCTTTCCATACCATGTGCTCATGAAGAAAAAGAGTGAGCATGAGCTATCTCACATCTCCTTTTACATGAATCCTACAGGATCAGTGCCCACCCCCTATGACTTCATTAACCTTAATTATTTCCTTACAGGTGCCATCTTTATTTTGTTTTGTTTTTTTTTTTTTGGGTTTTTCTCCGGTACCGGGAACCGAACTCACGGCCTTGCACTTGCCAGGCAGGTGCTTTTGCCGCTGAGCTAAGTCCCCAGCCCCCAGGTGCCATCTTTAAATAAAGCCATATTGTGTTACGGCTTCAATATATGAATTTCTGGGGGAAACAAATATTTAGTCTCAACATAGTGCCTGATATAATTTTTAGTCATTAAGTGAAATTAATTTGGTCTTCTTTATGAAGAAAGCACTCTTTAAAAGAATTTTTGAAATAGTTTTATTTAAAAACAACAGAGAAATCCAAAATATAAACAAAGAACAGAACAAAAGACAAACAGAAAGCAGGAAGTAGATTTTTCTCAAACGGGACAGGGATCAAGAAATGGAGGCAGTGAGGAGGGAGCAGGGAAAAGGGGTGAAAAAAGAATTAAACTGCATTATGTACATGTGCCAGCTCCCCACACGGAATGTAATCATTATATACTGCAAATATGTACTAATAAAAAATAAAAACAAAATCAAACAATTCTGTGTTATTTTGATTCTTTTCTACTCTGTGATTAGACAAAAAGAGATCAAGATTGATGTATCAGCTGTGGGTGGTAGCGCAAGTCTGGGGGTGGGCCCTGGCCACTGAGGAGAACCATAACATCAAGCCCAGCCTGGGCTACATGATGAGACCCATTATCTGAAAACCAAATCAAAAACTAAAACAAACAAACAAAACCCCAAAAACCAGTTTGATGTATCTACAGATAACAAGCAAAAGATAATAAAAAACTACACAGGAAGGAGAGGTAAAAGGTACAGGTATAATGTTACCCTGGGCAAGAATTAGTAATACAGTATTTAATAGTGCTTTGTCTACATAAAGCACTCAGGAAACAGGAGTTTGTTAATGAAAGGGATAAAAGATGGAAGAAAGCACTGAAGTAAGACAGTGTATAAAATATGCAAAAGTAAGCAACTAAAGGTTTTTTTGTTATTGTTGTTAAATGTTACACTGGATACATAAATCCAAGGAACACCAAACTGATTTACTTACTGCTTTCACTGTCGCCAGCCTCTCATTTGTAATTTGTTCTGTGTATTTTCTATATGCAGCATTTTTAGGGATTTGTTCAAGAACATCAAGAATCTTTGTGTACAATATTCTTAGCCTCTGAAAAAACAAATTGTACAAATTTCTATAGGTTAAAATATCACCATAGACAAAAAAATAAAAAATAAAAAATAAAAAATCACACGATTTTTAAAAACACTTAACTCTTCTCTCCTGCAATTTCTTCATGTCTATACCTTTCTCCTATACATCTTAGAAAAAATCTGAATATATGTGAAAACTCTTTTTGCAGGTTGTATGTAAAACAAAAGTTATATAGGTCAAAGGTATAATAACAAGCAAAAATAAAACTTGCTAATAATGACCTTTCTCAGAAATCAAACCATTTAGTAAACCAGCATTTCTCAAATCATGGTACTAGACTATAAATTCATTAAATTCTTTTTTATATATTTTAATTTTTCTTGCTTGAAATTCTGTAACTTTTTAAAGTACATGTAAACTTTAGATTGTCAGTATGGTAAAATTTAACTGAAGTTATAGAATTCAATGCTTTTGCTGTGATTATAATTGTATTTTCCCATATGAATAAAAGCTTTGAGGCTCAACAAAAAAAGAAGCAAGAGAACTGAGAATGATAATTTTAAAAGTACTAACCAACAGACTTAACTTGTCATCTGACCCTTCTACTTCTGCAGTGAGTACACTGGGGTATACCTGTCAGAGCCTGTGCTGTCTACCTCATATGCTGTTTCTGTTATTTATGTTCCATAACAAACACAGCCACTGCTATTACCACCTATGTTCACTACAGTGGGTATGCAAAAGCACAAAGAAGGACAAGACAGATACTTCTAACTCCCTAAAACCTACTAGAAACACTGTCACAGTCTTTTCTAAATATTTTTAGGAAGAACTTTAACAAATAAACACAGGATTTACGATTTAAATTTGACAAGTGTGTATCGTACTATCTTCCTAATCTATACAATGCATCCACTTTTTTTTAGCAAGTAACAGTGCAAAAGTTTTAAACCAATTGGGACTTTCACTCTTGACTTCTATTCTTCATTCTTACTTACTCCAATTTATATATACAATGCATGTTAGTTTTTAATGTAGCATTTTAACAAAGTTTTAATCTGATTTAAAATTTGGTTTTAAATTTTTATTTTCATCTTTTCTGATAAAAATATATCTGTTCCCAAAGAATACAGATGAGAACCAGGAATGATTAACATAGTGAAAGAAAGATGTTGTGAATAGGATGGACATCTACTTTGTCATTCGAACTATTAGTCTTCATGCCAAACACACGTGAGAAGCAGAATAGTGCACACATACCTGGTCCTTCTACATCTATTTCAATAATTAAAAGTGGGGGCTGGGGATTTAGCTCAGCGGCACAGCAACTGCCTGGCAAGCGTAAGGTCGTGAGTTTGATTCCCAGTACCGGATTAAAAAAAAAAAAAAAATTAAAAGTGTATGAACACTTTTCCTAAAAAATATTCCTCTTCTTTTCAACAAGAATGTATTCCTCAGTTTTGCCATGTGTGTACACTATGTGCTGTCTGGCTAAAAAGGTACATTGGGCATGGATACCACTCCCAGTATGCTTAAGGTATTGTTGGTTAAGAAACAGAAAAGGAAAATAGTAAACCTCAAAATCTGAAAATAACTGTGTATGTGTAGCGGGTAAGGAAAGACAGAGCAGGAAGGTATCACTTAGCAAGTGTGCTAACTAGACTCTGACTGCCTAGATCGACACTGCTTCCTCTGTTGGATGCACTGGGCAAATTATTCCCAGCTGGATGTCTTCATCCTTCATCTGTAAAATGTGGACAATGTTTGTTTCCAGTGCTTTATCACTTGGAATAGGCCCTGGTATATATTAAGTCTTAATAAATATTAGCATTATTATTCTACAAAGAAAGAAGAAATCATTTCAACAGATATCAGAGAAAGGTTCATAGAAAAGGCAGCAGAGACAGATGTAGAGCAGCAGTAGTGGTGAACCTACGGCATGTGTGCCACAGCAGGCTATTTATTATCACTGAAAGTTCCAAAAGGTTCGCCATCACTGATCTAGAGGACATGGAAACAAAGATGTTGGAAAAAGCAATTTCCACACAAAAAGTTACATTCAAACATGGCTTAAATGTGTGGTTCAAATTTCTACTGAACAGTGCTTAGCTAGAGAATAGGATACTCAAGAAAATGCTTAGGAAATATAGCTGAAGAAACAGTGAAGATTGTAAGTAATTTTTTTCACCTGCCTGGCAAGTGCGAGGTCCTGAGTTTGATTTTCGGTACCCAAGTGAAAAAAAATTGTGATTTTTCATTCCAAGTTAAGGCATTTGGGCTTTACTATGTGTACAATCAAAAGATTTAGAAAAAACTGTATGATTTCATCAGTACTTTTGAAAAACTAAACTGACAGTAATGAGTTAAAAGGAATGAAGGTGAAATAAGGTAAAAAATCAATGAAGTTGTTGCAGTTCTCTAAACAGGAGGCTACACGGTGGTAGGAATAGAAAAGAGTCTGACTGGAAAGCTGTTACGGAAAATAATCAAAAGAACTTAACAACAATAAATATGAAGGTAAATAGATACAAGAAGTATAAACTATGGGGTTCAAATTCCTAGTCTGGGGCACAGAAAGATTCTAAAAAACTCAAAAAAACACAGTCCACAGAGGAAGAAACAAGTTTAGAAAGGGAAAATCACGAGTTTAGTTCTAAACAATAGAGTCCCAAGTCATTATGAACTAATGACTGGAAGGTATGCAATATTATTTACTGACCACATGCTTTAGGATAGAGTTTTAGTGAACAAAATAATAAAAAAAAATCCTTGCTTCATGAAACTCACACTCTTGTACATACAGACAACACGGGAAATCAGTAGAATGTAGTCTGATCTGGAAAGCCATATAAAGGACTTGGCTTTTATTTAGCGTGAAATGGAAAGCCACCGCAGGGTTTTAAGGAAAGGAGTGGCATGACCTGACTAACACTGCAGCTGACTGACTTATTATCTGGCTGAAAAAAGCACTCACAAGCGGAAGAGGTGTTAGGAAGCTACTTCAATTATCCACAGCAATGAGGGCAGGATCCAAGTGGGCGACAGAAACAATATGGGGAGGTACAGTCGAAATCGGGATACACAGTACTTGGAAGGCATTTCCAGGATTTTCTTCAGTAGCGGATGCGCGGTGTGGCAGAGAGAAAGGGATCAAGCTACCCGTGCGGCACTGAAGCGGAGACATCCGCTAAGCAACGAGGCACACACTCCTCGTAAAGGGCGAGGACACAGACCTCGGAGTCCTCAGCGCGCACGTGCTACCGAAAATCATTAGGCTGGCCAACTCACCCAGGGTGCGGGGCTAAATAAAGATTTTTAAATGAGAATATAAAGAACCAGGAAAGGAGAAGCAAGGATTAGGGGTGAAAGCAGAAGACTGCGGGCTCCTGACGCCCACGCCTGGGCGGCTGGCAGCAACCGCGTCAAAGGTACTGTCCATCAACTAAGCCGCGCGCGCCGCCCGCTCCCCGGTGACCTTGGAAGGGTCAGCTCCAGCCGCGCCTCGCTGCGCACGCCGAGGGGTCGTGAGAGACACCGCAGGCGGCGCGCACTGAGAACCTGCCTGTAACCGCAGACACGATTCGCTCGTGGAAGGGCCCGAGGGGTGTGGCTGCGGCGCTCTGTGCGACGGCAGCTCGGCGGACGCGGAGCTGCACCTCGCGAGTCCCGCGGGGGGTGGGGGGCAGGAAGGACCGCGCCGGACTCCCCCACGCGCCCGCCCAGGACCGGGCCCACCCGCACGCTCGCGCCGCACACCGCGCCCTCGGGGTCCCGGCCGGCCGGGGGCACCTACCTCGTGCGGGGTCTCGCACACCGCCAGTCCCACCAGGCCAGTGGTCTGTCAGAAAACAAAGCACGACGCGAACAGCGTTTAGCACGGCGCCCCGGAAAGCACGCCCGCCCCCCGGCTGAGCGCCCCTGCGCGCCGCTCTCCCCGCCTTCCCGCCGCCGCGAGCGGGCGCCCGCCCGAGCCCCCCAGAGCGGCCCTGCGCGAGTTCCAAACGCTGCGCTCAGCCCGCATCGGTCAAGGCCACCACCCGCGGAGGGGCCGTGGGGCCGACTCCCTCTACGGTCTAAACTTCAGCAGTGACCTCCGGCCGGCTCACCTTCTTCAGCACACCCGCCATGACGGCGACCGAGCTCGGCGCTCCGGGATCTCACTCAGACCCGCTCAATCGACTGTCGAAGCCGACGCTCCGTCGCCCTGGAGACGGCTTGGCTCCACCCCCTCAGGATCGCCGGAAGGACCGAAGGCTCAGTTCCGCCTGTCCCAAAAGGGGAGAATCGACGCCTGCGCAATGAGTTCGCACGGGTCTAAGGGAGGGTTGGAGACAGCTGGGAGGGAGGTTTGTGTGGACCGAGTTTTGTGTTTCTAAGCCCATCGCTGCCATCAAAGACGACTTGTCCAAAGGCCGAGGGACATTCTACCGACTGCCAGAAGCTTCGACATAGTTGTTCTGTAGGAACGTGTATTCTGCCTAACCTTTGAAGACATACAGAATAGACAGAAACAGTCTCTTCACAGATCCCTGATTTGGAAATAGTGTACACAGAAATGTTGAGGAGCACGTACATACACACAAACATTTAATGCAAATATATTACCTGAGGTTGAATTATACATGATCAACAAGGATCAGCTCAGGCTGCCGAAACAAAATACCATAGACTGGGTGGCTTAAACAATAAAAACATTTCTCACACTTCCCGAGGCGAGGAATTCCAGATCAAGCCCTCAGAGGTAGATTTTCGAGCCCTTTCCTCTTGGCATGTAAGTGGCTGAAAGCCACTGGGATATATGTGGCACCAATAGGCTTACAGCCAGGATGGAATAAAAAGGAAAAGAAGGCAGTTTTCCCTTTGCTTCTTTGGGGACGCTCTGGGCTTCACCATCACCTTTGGATGGTGGCATCTAGTTTCTTCAGTTCCAGCACAGACTCCAGCCTACAACACAGACCCTGCAGGTTTCTAGCGCGGACTCACATCAGACTCTGCAGTGAGCTCCAGGTCTTCACCTTTCAGGCATTTGACTGGATCCTCCAACTCTTCAGGCCACAGACAGTCATTTTGCACTTCTCCACCCCACAAGTGGCCATTGTAAGCCTATTTTGTAAATCCATATATTATATTTATTACTTTTGTGAACCCTAACAGATGCGCTATCTCTAACCCTACCTTATTGGGAGTTAGGGCTTCATAATATGAGTTTTAGAGGGACATAACATAATCTTTAGCAACTGGTAAACAAAAATCTATTCTAGCAATTAATAATCTGAAAGTGGAATTAAGGAAACAATTTACAATGGCACTGGGGAGAAAAAAATATGTAGGAATAAATTCTAACAAAAAAGTGTAACAATTGTACACTGAAATCTTTAATACATTTTTTTAAATACTAAATTCCAAATAAATACCCCATATCCGTGAATGTGAAGATGGTATTCTAAGATAGCAAAATTCTCAAATTGAGTATCTATACACATACACTCACAAATATACAAATATATATAATATATATATATATATATATATACGCAGATTTATTATACATCTTGGCCTATATCATTGTGGAGGCATGTACTGCTGTCTGCATGCTGTAGATCCAGGAAAGCCAGTGGTACAATTCAGTCCAAGTCCAAAGTCCTGAGACCTGGGACAACCAGAGACATAAATCAACATGAGATTTTGAAGGACCTGTAAGCAGCAGTGCTACTACCCATGGGAAAAGAACACTGACATTCTAGCTCAAACAAGGAGAATAAATTCACCCTTCGTATGCCTTGGGCCCTAAGTGGTTTGAATGTTGATGAGAGTGATATCCTTTGCCCTAGTTGATGAATACAGATACTCATCTGTTCTGCAAAAACTTTCCAGACAACAGACACATCCATAAATTATGTGTTACCAGCTATCTTAGCCCAATTTACTTGAATCCTACATAGTATCTGTCCTATTTCTTCTCTTTCTTTGTAGAACCCTCATAATACAAATTGTGTCACCAAAAATATGTATGTTGTATGTACCTCAAAAAGAAACTTCCCACACGCCATAAGTTGAGTAGTTTTTCTTCACCATATCCTTCCATCACGATATCTTTGCCTTGGAGCCTGACAATCATGGACTGAACTCTCTGAAACCATGAGCCAAAATAAACTTCTCCTCCTCTAAGTTGTAGGTATTAGATACTTCATCTCAGCAATAGGAAAGTTGATCAATATACAATTATCATCATAATTTTCAATATATAGCCACCTTTTTTTAAAATTTTGTTTTGTTTTGTTTCCAGTACCGGGAATTGAACTCACGGCCCTGTTCTTACAAGGCAGGCGCTGTGCCACTCAGCTAAATCCCCAGCCCCTCTAGTCACATTTAAATCAGGATGGAAAAAATCTATATTAATAAATACATACATATATCAATTACATTTAAAGGTATAAACATTTGTATATGTGTGTATATGTAGAAACTATTACATTGGGGCTAACCATCTGATGTATCTATTTGCTTCTCTGTGAAGTGACACAGACATACATATACAATCAATGTTTTTCAGGAAATTACATTTGGATTGGGAGAAACCCAGCCCAATCTCTCTTTCTCTCTCTTTCTTTCTTACTTTTTTCCCTCCTTTTGAGACAAGGTTTTACTGTGCAGTTCAGGCTGGCCTTGAACTCGCTTTGTAGCCAAGGCTAGCCTCAAACTTGCAGTGATCCTCCTGCCTCAGCCTTCTGAGTGTTGGGATCACAGGTGTATACCACCACACCTGGTCAATTATCCTTATTTTTCAAACCTGACCATGATGATATAGTCCCTGGGACCGAGATGAGTGGAGGTTTATGAGATCATAGTCTTTGTTTCCTGTCCCTCCAGATTCTAAGCATTTTTTTCATTGTGAGATATGTTCTAGAATACAGAATCATGTGATTATGAAAGATGCTTGTGTTTTCATGTGTTGTAACTTTGGATTGTGAATTCTGTTATACCATATTTACTAAAGACACCAAAGTTAGACTCAGCTGATCCTGGTTAAGGTACTACATAGCTGACTTTGTCCATATGGTGTAGATTCTGTGGACTAATGCTTTTGCACAGGGGCACAGCAATTATGGAGGAGCCTCAGTCGTGGTATTTTGTATTTAACAACTGGCATTAATTGTAAAGGGACATTATCATTGGCATATGTGATATCAGAAGGGGATTCAGGAATGTCTTAATGTGCATAGCAATATCACATGCATTACCTTCTCAGGTGGGAGAGGTGCATTGTGTACCCAAAGGGATAAGTGTTCCAGTCATTTCCAGAAAGGAGATGGATGTGGGGAAGTTCTTCTGTATATAATGTTAGTAGGCTAGGTAATTTGAAAGAAAATATGAGTATTACATTTTACATAATTATCTCTGCATGACTTCTAGCCCATCTAAGGGAGCTCTTGTTTCTACAAGATTAAGTAATAAAAGAGTCAGAACCTCCTCTACTGCTTCTCAGTGAAAGAAGTCTCTCTTGTGAGGAGCTGCATCTCACCAAAATTAGGTGGTTGAAATGTTTTGCTGGAATCTACGGTCAATCTCCAAAAAAGGAACGAGGCTAAGTGAAATGAAAGGAAGAAACATCTCATACTCTAGGGTATGAGGTCCTCATTGTGGGAAATCTACATGAAGGGGACAAGTGCTGCCTTTGCCAGCTTTCCCTTAATTATCATGGTCAAAAAAGCAAATGTGGAAATAATGCCACATGAGGGAGTATCCTTTCTAAATGTAGAAAAACAAATTTGTTAATTATTCAAGGAGACTAACATGCAAAGTCCAGTCATGTGGATGTTATCTATCTCTTGTGTCTTCATCCATATCAACTATGTTCAAAATTAGTTGGACTTCATCATGTCTTCTGAATCCATACTACAGATTCTTAAACACTGTACTTAGTAATTTTATGTTTCAAACACGTTGTTAAAGCTTCATTCTAAAATGAGCTGACATTCAGATAAAAGCCATTACCTTGTTTTATCGTAGTGGCTGTTTGCTTCCATCTAGTTGGAGTAATAAATATGGAAAATTGTGGAGCTCCAACACTCCCACCTACATTTGGGTTAGGTTTAATACTGCGATTAAGCATGGTTTTCTATTGTAAAACAGAAAAAAAGCATATGGGAACACCAACTAATAAAGATTTATGACTACCTCACCCTTACCATCGGGGGCATATTTTTCTCCACTTCTGTACACCAGGCATTATTGCTCCCCATTTAAAACTAAAAAAGAAAAAAAGAGACAAAAAGCAGGGAAATGTGTTGAATAAGATGAAAACTCTTGTGAGAGTAACCATTAATACAAATGCTAATGAGAATATAATAATAAATAAAATGATAACAATTATTATTTTAAAATGAATACCTTAGCATTCCAAAATAGAAAAAACAAAATTAAGTTTAATATAAAAGTTGAAATATGATGTCAACCTACCAGGAAAAAGTCATGCTTTATCTGGAGTACTGAGGAAGATGTTAAGAAAGCAATAAAAGAAGGCAAGGAAAACTAAATATAAAGTGAGATCCCCGTATCAGGGACTGACAAAGGAACATGAGTTGAAACAGCTAGTGTAACGACTGGAAGGAAGAAAAATTGTCAGAGTACCCTTCAAATTCTAGCTGAAATTACGTGAGTCCATATTTTTGAAGAGCTTGGCAAATACTTTAACTATGGATTTTTTTCTAAATTTCATAGTCAACTAATTCCCAAAAGCTATTTTACTTGCTATATATATATTATCATGCAATGTATAGTACAGTAAAATATAATGCAATGAGAAATGGTCTCGGAGATCTTCTGATACAGTCAAGAAACTTGCCCTGTCTGTTGCAGTGTAATCTTGTAACATAGATACAATTATGAAATATCCAGAACTGCGTCTTTTCCATAGTTTAAGATGATTTAAAAGCCATACACTCATTTCACCAGGAGATGGTGATAAAGAGACAGATTTTAATGTCAGTCTTCTATCATTGAGCGGGGCAAAGTGGGGTGTGTGTGTGTGCGTGTGTTTGGTTGGGATTTTTTTTTTTTTTTTAGAAGTTCGACCAAATTCATTTATGAAGAAATATAATCAGTACGATATAAAAGAGTTTGGGCAGAAAGATGTCAGATACCTTTAGATATCAGGGAAGAAAATCAAGTCCAAGAGTGGCTAAGACTCAAGAAGACTTAACTTGCCCTGAGAATATCATTACTAGTAGCACTAAATAATAGGGCAAGGAGGCCTTCCTTAGCGGCCCTGTACAAAACTGAAATGTTGCATTGTAGGTATTTTAAGAGGTACAGGACATCTGCGACTGACTTTGGAAGCCTTAGAAGAAGGAAAGAAAGGGGGAGTGGGTGGATTGTTGCTGGTGCCTAAGGGAAGTGAAGAGGGAAGGAAAAGAAAGGCAGTTAAGGTTGTGATGAAAATCCAGCTGAGCAAGAAGTAGAACCAGCTCCCTCACAATGGCTCAGTGCCAAAAGCAAGGTGGAAAGGGAAGGATATAACATTTCGGAAGCAGCTGTGATGGTGCTAATGGACTTGCTGAAGAAACTTGTGAGGAAACAGAGGCAAAAACATTAAGTATAACTGATTTACCTGATAAGTTACTGGGAAGAAGGTGTAAAAGGGAACTAGAGTGTGGTGAAAATGCCTTCTTGTGTGTGACTTAGGTCACCAGAAATTAGAAGCAAAGAATGATTGGAACTGTTTTAGGAAAAATGCACTGTGGTAGTGCACAATTAAACCCTTGTCAAACATATCTGAGGATTACGTAGGCTGCCAGTGATGAAGGGTAGCGGTTTCTTTCAGATAATGTCACCCACCCGGTGGTTCCGATCCTGCCCTCTTCAACAGAGGGCTGTAGGGGCGGCTGCTGGTACAATGGCCATGTGATTCCTTGCGAAATGCTTTTTTCCTTCTGGGATGATCAAGACATGAACAAAGAAAGCTGATACAGTAGGAAACGGGCTTCTAAAGCCCTCACTCCAGCAGGTTTGCCTGCCTACCTCTACCTACAGGCTTGAACCGACTTACCTGGACACATATGGGCCTGACTAGAATGGCCAGAGTCTTTTGATAAATCACTTATTAGTTCTGCAGAAGACACACTGCAAAAGAGATATAAAATAATTTTTCCTCTATTCTTCATTTGAACATTAAGGGGAATTACATATTTTCGCTTTTAAGCCCCACTTTTCTCTCATTCCCACTTAAATTTATTTGCTGCTTCTAACAAGTTTTCCCATCCATATGACCTTTTCTTCAAAATCATTAAAACTAAAAATAGCTCCAGCAGAAATATAGCTCTAAAGCTTGCCAGCTTTATGGCTTGGGTGAGTCTTTTAACTTTTCTGGACCACTGCCAATATTTCCATTTGGAAAGCACACAATGATTAGACTAGGTCATTGTTTCCTGGCGGTGTTTTAAGAACTCCCTAGCTTTTCAAGTCTGTGTTCTAGGTCATTTGGGTCAACAGAGATTGTAATAATTGTTTCTATTGATATTTTTAGGTAATCAAATTATTTTAAATTTACCAGTAAAACAAATATTTGGAGCCTCCAATTGAACAGCAGGTCTGTGATGTGTGGATAATGTCAGTCAAATGAGATTGGGAGTACTTTATCAAACATATAAAATATATAAATATTTATATAAAACTTCAAGTATAAAACTTCACATTTTAAATGTTATTCAGTATTCAGCTGTTTTTAATTTTGGGTCTGTCTGATTTTTAATTGCATTGAATCATTTTTAAGGCAACAATAGTAAGGAGCCATTAATGACTTACTATGAGTTAAGCAAGAATACAAAAATGCTAATTATGTTAACTTTACTTAATATATTTGTAATTCAATTTACCAGTTGAAAGTGATTAGCTATCACAGCATATCACTCATATATCAAAAAAAATTTTTAAATAAAACAAAATCATTTTCCATCCAGTTGTCTTTTCATTTGTAGCCAATATGTAGGCTCAACCCTCCTGAAAGAAATACTAAACCAAAAAATATAAACAGCTACAACCTTTGCTATACCTTGGCAAATTGCTTTTCAAAATAGCAGTACCAATTTAAAATACAGAATAACAATGTACAAGAGGCTCTTGCCAGAAATACATTCTAATTTTGAAAAAAAAATTTAAGAACAAAGAATATAATACAGTCCTACTTGTCTGTTTTTGCCTTTGTTGCCTGTCATTTCAGTGTTATATCCAATAAATAACGCCATGACTAATGTCACAGGTTTCCTCATACACTTTCTTCCAGTAGTTTTACAGCTTCAGATCTTTAAAGCTTAAATTTTTAATCAATTTTTATTAATGGTGTAAAGTAAGGTTTCAATTCTATTCTTTTGAATGAGGATATCAAATTTTCTCAATGTCATTTATTAAAGGGATTTTCTTTTCTGTATTGTGTATTATTGGAAATCTTGGCCCAGATCACTTGATTACATATGTGGACCTATTTCTGTGAGTTCATTGGTTTATGTGTCAGTTGTTGGGCTAGTACCATACTGTTTTAATTCTGTAGTATACTTTACAATCAGGAAATGACATATCCAGCTTTCTTCAGCTTCATCAGATTATTTTAGCAACCTGGGTCTTTTGTAATTTCACATGAATTTTATGACCCAATAATCCTACTTTTAGATAAAATCAGAAAATAGTTGAAATCAAGATCTTGAAGAGGTATCTGCACACTCTGTTCATTGTAGTACTCACAATAGCCAAGATATGGAAACAAATCAGGTACCAAGCAATGGATGAATGAATAAACAAAGTGTGATTTATGCATACGATAAATTTTATTCAGCTCTTGAAAAGAGGGAAATCTGGTATATGTAACTACATGGATTAAACATGGGACATTATGCTATATGAAATAAGCCAGTTACAGAAGGGTGCTGGTTAAATCCAATTATATGTGATGTCTAAAATAATTTAACTCATGGAAGCAAGAGTAGAATAGTGGTTTTTCAGGGACTAGAGGGAAGAAGAAATCAGGGTAAAATTTCAGTTATGCAAGGTGAATAATTTCTAGAGACTGGCTGTACAATATAGTGCCTACATTTAAAGAATGTACTCCAAATTTTTTTAAAAAGTAAATCATTATACATGAAGTTGAAGTACCACAGTTTATCTTTCCTTCTTATAGGCAATCACTGTAAAATAGATAGATATAGATATAGATATAGAGATACATATACATGTACATATACATGTATATATATATTCCAAACTTCTGGATGTATCTGTAGTCAGTATTTTTTGAATTTGCTAAAATGTAGTAATAGTGAATTATACATATTCTGCAGCATCTGCTTTTCAGTTAACATTTTGTTTTTAAATTTAATCATATTGACTCTTACGTATCAGTTTATTGCTTTTAGTTCTACATAGTGTGCTATTATACTACATGGTGATAGCATGCTATGTGAATTCATTTCTCTCTATGTGGTAAATTGCATGTTAACATGTTTCCTGGCTCACATCTTGATCTCTAGGGGTGAGGGACTGCTTCTTCTCCTCCTCCCCTGACCTCTTTTCCCTTGTCGTCATGGACTCTAAGACTGACAGAACCCGTGGCACTAGAAAGGGTCATAGTTTTTCTTAACTTGACTAAGGAATCTAGGACCAGTTCTAATTTCATGTAAAAACCGTCCTTCTGAATCTTTCCACAAGTAAATTACTTGTAGTTACAATTACACAGAATGTCTTCAATCCTAGAACATTTTAGATCTAAAAACAAAGATCACCAAGTCTATATCTTCAATCATTACCTAAGGATATGTGTCAATTTTGGTTTTTCTCCTATAGAAATATTTATATACTTTAGGCAATGGCTATATCTTATTAATTTAAAAAACTACCATTGCTTTGTGCTTGGTCAAGAAAAGGGGGCAAAATTTAGAAACTTACAATATTATTCTGACTAAATTTCATTGAATACTTTCATAAATATTTGGCAAAAATATATGTTACTTATTGAATTTTCATTTCCTCTGTTAAAAGTGAAACTGTGTCCACACAATTATTAACTGGTTAAGTATTCTCTTTGGAGCAATGTTTCCTCATGTTCTTTCCCAAAATGTTCCCTCAAATCATGAACTTTTTTCATTCTTCTTTGTCAAGCTGATTGCCAGATTCCATCTTCTTTTTTTGTAATTTTTTTGTTTGTTTGTTTTGTTTTGTTTTCTGATACCGGGAATTCAACTCACGACCTTGCGCTTGCCAGGCAGGCGCTGTGTCGCTGAGCTAAATCCTCAGCCCCTCCATCTTCTTTCTTTGACTATGTCGCTATTTCTATTTCACTGCTGGGTTCTCAACACTTCCTAATTACCCTGGTGCGTTCTGAGCACAACCTTCAAACAGCAGATCTCCAACTGTGGCATTCACCAGAATCATCTGCGGGCTTGTGCAAACACAGTGCTGGGCCCTGGTGAACACCTGCTCCAATCCATCCGACACTCCTACTTTCTCAGTCTCCACCTGGGATCTGGAGGTCTAGGATACAGCCTAGAATGTGAATTTCTAACAAATCCCCAGGTGGCTGTTTAAAAGCATTATTTATATTTTAGCCCTATGCTCCAGCAGCTTCCAGGTGCCAGTAATGTCAGGTCTACATGCCCCTGCTTGAGGCCCTCCAACACCCACTCAATTTGACCACTCATTTTATTTCCTTTATTTTTCCAGTAGTCTCACAGCCATGCAGTTAATTCCTCAATCCTCTGTACTTTGTGTAAAGCATCTCATATCAGATGATATTGTTTTTGAAGAATGGACTCATTTTTTATCCAGTAACAAACAGTTCACACCAGTTTGCGTAGATCCAGTCTTACTTTTCTCTATAGTACTTTTTATTTTATATTATTGTATTTCAGTCTCGAAGAGTCTGTTGGATTTACAACCCACTGTAACTTCCAGCTGCCCTGGGCACTATTTAAGACGCAAGAGAGAAAAAAATTATGAAAATAGAGGTAAGAATCCAACCATGAATATGTTAATATTTTTAATTGATCAATGAGTTAGGCTCATTTATATTTAATGATGTGACAGATATAGCTGCTTTGTTTTTTGTAATTTTTAAAACATCTTTTCATGCAATCTATTTTGATTTTTATGTGGTTCATTAGATATCTGGGAAGGCTTGCATTTCTTACTTTAGTGGTTAACTTAATAATGCTACATAACTGTTGATTTTTTATTTTTCTATACATAACCTTTCAGTCCATTACTAGGAAAAAATGATAGAACTGTCATGTTCCTTCTTGTCATTTTCTTTTTACCTCCTCTTCTACTGATTTAATGAAAACTTTCCTTTTTTAGGATTTGCCTTTATATTAAATATGCTTATACTTTCCACTTCTTGTTATGTAAGACCTCAATATCTCCTTTTATATCTCAGCGTCTCCAGATGGGACAATTAACAGCGCTTATTTGCCTGTCCTGCCCCAAAGTTATAATAGTACTGTTTCTGTATTGTTAGCATTTATAAAATCAACATTCTGGGTGGTAACCATCATCCCTACATTTCTCTTATTGCGAGCTCGACAATGAAATCTTTTAAACACCCTCTGCTAATCCATTTATTATAGTACTCCAGTCACTGTTTGCTGAAGTAAAATAACTCACTTGCAATTTCCTAAGGTTATATGGGATCATTCCTCTTACTGGGTAAAAAACAGGCTGAACACTGAGAGTTTAAAGATTTTGTGCTTGTATGTAGCATTTATCTTTGAAAGATAACATAAAACATAGGTAGACGTTAAATTATTTGCTTATACTTTTATTTCCTTGAGTATTTTATAGATATTTCTTTGGAGACATATTATATAAGATTGTTATTCTCCTTATAAATCAGTTGATTTTTTTTTAACCTGACAACACATTTTCTTTATGTTTAAAATCAACTAATATTCCCAGCTTGTGTCTCTGTGTTGATCTTTATGTAACTTTTTCTGGCACACATAGTATATCTTTCGGATATTTAGATTTAAATGTTCTTTTATGTGAGAAAATCTTCCTTGATTTATTTATTTCAATTCTTGCTTGCTTTATATTGTATATGCATATACAAATATGTAAATACTAATGCACTTTAATACCCTTTTCAATGCTCCTTTATTTCTATTTCATTTTTTGTTTGCTTTTCTCATTTTTATCCCAGATGCTTCTTGTGTTTCCTTCAGAGTCTACTGTCCTTAACATTCTACAAAGTTGATCTTTATTTCTCTGACAATATTTTTCCTTCTTTTCCAAGTTCACAGTGTCAATTTCCTCCATTTCCACCCCTCATTGACACATTTGTACATTTTAGTCTTCCTTCACAGATAGAGTTGTGTTATTTTAACTAATGGTAAAATATATGATTGTAATTCTTCACTGGTCAGTGTAACATATCCCAGGTAAGTGTAATTTATTTGTTGGAATAAAATTTGTTTGCAAATAAATAAATTTATTTGCCATTTTTTTCTATATCTTTCATAGTATTTTATCCTTATGTTGTAAGTATTTCATGTTTATTAGTCATTTTGAAATTATCTGGCTTTTCCTGGATGAACAATGTCTATCAGAAAACAAAGAGGCACCTTCCCAAAATCTGATGCTCATAGAAATTGATTGAAAATTTTAATAGACATGTTGAATAAGTTGAACAACTGAGTCAAATTGACATCACCCATTGTTAAGATTTTCTTTGGATGTGGTTATTCAGTCAAACTCACCAACTGTTGTACAGTCAACTCGTATTTTTTCACCTCCAGGATTGCTAGGAGTTTCTTTCACAGGACTTGTGGAATTCATGATCTTCGCTTACTAGTCTAGTCTTTCTTTTGAAAAAGTAGCCAACCATAGACTTTGCACACAAAAATTCGTTTTTAAATACTGAATGAATAAAAAGATAGATGAATAGTAAAACAAGGTTCAAATGAGAAAATTATTCTCAATTCATAATGGATAATTATATTTTTCCTAAGTACTCGCCCATGCGTACTTACATTCTCTGTCAGTGGAAAGACTTATGACATTTATCCATTTAAAACTTCCTGATGCCTCTTTCATTATGAAATTGCCATGATTATCTCTGTGATCAAAATTGCATATTTTTTAGATTGAAGGAAATAATTTGCTTTAGCCTAGAGACCTGTCATTTTCAAATTTGCTGTCTGCCTAAGCTGTGGACAAATCTTTCTTTCCTCCCACTGTGTCTTATTTTTTTATGAACATTTAAAAAGTTTTTTAGACATTCAGTACTTATGTATTTATTGATTAACCCACTAGTATGAATAGGTTCAGTTAATTTGAGGCTTTAATTGTCCTCCAATGATTGTCACTGGCCTTATATTTATCCTTTTTGTACAGACCTTGGTGAACTTCTATATCTATTCTTTTAACAGCTGAGCTTATTAGCAAAATTGCTGTCTACCACGTGATTTCACTTAGTGTCTTACTTCCTTTTCCTCGGTGAGACTTTGCATGCCTAGTTAAAATTGCGTGTGTGGTGCCCTATCCTCCCCTTGTAGAGGTTCAGGCTATTGAATCATTGCTGCCTTTAAACCTTGTGAAATCTTATTTCTTATATTTCAGCAACCTGTCCAAAATAATCCAGTTTTATTTTCTTTAATATGTCTATTATAATACAATTTATATGCAGGATGTTTTACACGTTAAGATAAGAATTAACAGTAAGTGTCATGCAATATGTAAAACTGGGTCATACCTATTTTATCAATTATATTTGAATAAGTGATTCTACACTAACTTCAAAGTTTAATTAGGGAAAAGTTCTAGATTAAGACATTTTCTTAGTTATAATTTAAAAATCAAGACCTTAAATTTATGTTTTAAATAAATAACTGTGTTAAATCTCCATATTGCTGTATCACTTATGATGGTTATGCTATTTTTCATTACCAATTTACTGCTATGAAAAATAAACGATTTATATAAATATTCTCAGAAATACCTGAGTGGTTTTTAAATTTTTTTCCCTTTTAATCTGTGCATGACTCTAGCCTGAGGGCTTAATAGATGATTGTAGTCAAAATGAAAGTTAAAAATTAACTCAGAACAACTTTGCAACCTGCCTGGTGTCATGGAGTTTGCAAATGTATAACTCCTTCAGCTTCTGGGAGCTGAGTTAATTACACAAAATCACACTAATTAAATTATTCACTAGGTCTTTATTAAAAACAAATCTATTATGCTATAGAGTGCATTGTGGATTTGGCTTAAGACTGCCAGCCCGTCTTTCTGTTTATTAGGAAATTCTGTTTAGATCTTCAGTTGAAGTGAGTGCATAAAGTATATGCCGAAGCTACAGGTTTCTCTTGCCCTTGTTTAGCTTCCCAGGCCTTCCGTTCACTTCACATTTCTCAAATGCCCACACTGTGCAAAGCCCAAGTGTTACCCCTCTGTCCTCAAAGAGGTTACAATAAAATCTGAAGTAGCAATGGGCGTAAATAATTACTACTGGAGGCAACTAAAACAAACCGGACAGGGAAATAAAGGAGGAAAGAGACAGATTCCCACAGGAATTTTTTTTTTTTTTTCGGAGATAGAGTTCGGCTTTAAAGGAGCAGAAAAACTTGTCCAGCCAGAAGTGAGGGAGTGGCAAGGAAGGGCATTTGAGATAGATAACTCCGAAGAAGAATCTAGAGAAAACAGTATTTATTATTTGTTCTGAGAGAGAAAAGAAGCAAAGCTAAGGCAGGTGAGCTGCCCAGGTGTCCAAGTTCTACAACACAGCGGCTGATAATTGTTCCGCCTCTCACTGAGACACTTGAATCACTGAGTGGAGCAGTGGAGCCCACTTCTGCTTCTCTGGGCCACTTGAATAAGGACCACCGGGAGTGGGGTGGGGTGGGAAGGCACTTCCAAGAATTTTTGGCTCCAGCCTGGGAAGGGGAAAGCTGGGATTCACTATGAAGTATCCTTGCACATGGTACTCATGCTTCTGGAGCATCTAGCGTAAGAATTAAGTCTGGGTAAAAATCCTAGCTGTTCTTCACTAGCAAATTAACTTTGGGAAAATTTATTTAATCTCATAATCTTACACCCTCTTTACAAAATGGTCACAATGATATGACACCCATTTTGCACTAATGCTGTGAAGATTAACTGAGATAATGCATTTAAAGGATCAGAACTGCCTTATACAGCACATTAATACAGGTTAGAAAATTGGAACCCTCTCTCCAGGTGGATACAACCCTTTGCTAGAGCACTTGTATGGGTGAATGGAGGAGAAAGCAGATTTCAGTCTTATCTTAACTTCATAACCTGCACAACTGCACACAGAAGCCCAGAGGTTGGGGCGTAACATAATACAGTAAGTCCCTGAACTCCAGACAAGTTCTGTCCTGGGAGAATGCAAGTTAGATTTGTTTGTGAATTGAACAAAATGAGTCTTATACACCTGACACAAGTGTACAATATGTATTGCTTTGGGCTTTCTAGAAGTCCCCTCCACATTGCAGCTGCTTTTGCTCTTGCTTCCGAACATCTTGGGCTCTGATTGAGCACTGTACTACTGGACACTACCACACTTTACAGTAAGTACACGGCAGCACAACTATGACAATGTCAGCAGACATATGAGCTACTTCCGGGATTTGCTCACATTTATTAATGCTCAAAATGTGAAGTCCGTTTGTATCTGTGAAAGTTCACAATTTGAATATTCATAAGTCGGTGACTTTACTGTACTTGGTTATAAAGAAAAGCTCAAAAATGTTAACATCATTACAATCGTTAAGTGGAAAAAGACTCAAAAGCACAAAGTTGAGGCTCAGTCAGAGACTGTCTGACTGTCTCCTACCAAATGGGTTGTTCATAATGCACACCTCAGTCTTACATCATTTCTGTGTGCTGTCCTCACACTAGATGGCACTGATTATCGTTTGTGCCCACCTTCAGCTTGTAGTGGAACTGACTTCCTCTCCACAATGGCTTCTGTTTGTGGCAGTATCTGTCTATA